GAAGACTTCAAGATGGAAAAATTGACCCAAATCTACATCGACAAAATTGTTTCTCTGCATGGTGTACCCCTATCTATCATTTCTGATAGAGATAGTCGTTTTACATCACGATTTTGGTGGATGTTACAGAAGGCACTAGGAACCAAGATAAATTTGAGCACAGCTTACCACCCTCAGACAGATGGGCAAACAGAGAGAACAATACAAACATTGGAAGACATGCTACGGGCGTGTGTCATTGAGTTCAAAGGAAATTGGGATACTCATTTGCCTCTAATTGAGTTTTCCTACAATAACAGTTACCACACGAGTATCCAATGTGCTCCATATGAAGCATTGTATGGACGCAAGTGTCGTTCGCCCTTATGCTGGACAGAAATCGGAGACAGACAGTTGACTAAAGTCGAACTTATCCAGGAAACATCTGACAAGATTGCTATCATCAAGGATAGGCTTAAAGCTGCTAGAGATCGTCAGAAAAGTTATGCGGATAATCGTCGAAAAGCATTAGAATTCCAAGTAGGAGACAAGGTACTTTTAAAAGTGTCGCCTTGGAAAGGGCTTGTGCGTTTTGGTAAGAAAGGAAAACTAAGCCCGAGATATGTTGGACCCTTTGAAGTCATTGAAAGGATTGGTCCGGTAGCTTATAAACTCCAGTTGCCCCAAGAGTTAAGCGCCATTCATGACACATTCCACGTCTCCAATCTTAAGAAATGTCTAGCCAACGAAACATTGATAGTACCCCTGGAGGAAATTAAGATCAATGATAAGCTAAACTTCGTTGAGGAACCGATAGAAATCCTTGGCAGGGAGGTAAAACAACTTAAGCGGAGTAAGATCCCGATTGTGAAAGTTCGATGGAACTCAAAACGCGGATCGGAGTACACCTGGGAGCGTGAGGACTTCATGAAGGAAAAGTATCCACAACTTTTCCCATACGATGACAAGCGATGACATAGAATGAATTTCGGGACGAAATTCTTTTTAAGTGGGGGATACTGTGACAACTGTCAATTCAGGTCATTCTCGGACTCATGCATCTTTATAATAACCATTCATGCACATCATGCCATGGCCTAGTAGTATAAATTAGGTCAAAATCTTACATAAACTAGGATCCATCTAAGACCTAGGACTAATATACTTGACACTTACGATTCTAGTAAGTTGCTTAACTACAATAGGAAATGCCAATGCTATAATTTGAATGAAACTTTCAAGCTTTGTTATAATTGAAAAAGGGTATAAAACCCTAAAAATAAATTAAAATATTCTAATTATACTTCATTATGATGATGAATATCAAACAATATTCCAAAAACCCTAAGAGAGCTAAAAATCCAAATTTATAAATCATAAAGCTTAAAAACTTTATAAAATTTGGCTATAAACTTTCTAATATCAAATTTTTATTAATCAAATTATGGATTATAATCATTGAAATAGAAATTAAATTATCATGCAATAATCATAATTTATTAGTTAAAAACAAGATTTTTTACAAATAAATCAAGAATTGCTTAATAAATATTTTTATAAAAATTAGGGTTTTTATAAAAATATTGGAGGGAATTTTATAAAATTTGAAATTAGGAGAGAGGAGGCCTAATGCATGATAGAGCCAGCCATTCTCCCCTCCCCATGCACTCTCTCTTCCCAAAACTCAATCATTAGACTTAAACCCTCACTCTACCTCTTCTCTCTTCACTCTCTCACACTCCACCCTCCTAACACACACAACTCTCTTCCTCTCTCTCTCTAACTCACGAAATTCTCCCCATTCCTCTGCCAAATTTCGAGATTTAGAAGACCTTGAAGTGTTCTTACTTCCCTCAAGATCAAAACCAAGGTAAACAACAACATCTTCTTCCATAATTTCATGATTCTACTACCTCTTCTTCTTAGTTTTCTCTTCTTTTCGGATTCTATGCCTTTCCATGGCTAGAAATCTTTATTTTTCCCTTGTGGTTTGTAGATTCTCACCATAACACAATGCATGTGTTTGAAATGGTGAAAATCCGGGATCAAACCCATGCAAGGAGTGAAAATGATGCACATATGTTCATGTGACTTCAAAAACAAGTATTACATCTTCTTCTCCATTTCTTTTGTGTTCTTGCATGGTCAAAAGCATTTAAACCATTTCTAGTACATCTTGGATGCTCATTCACTCCATGCATGTGCTAGAAATCGGACCTTATCAAAGGCATGCATGATGTTCTTGTCAAAATGTCCTAAGGATGCACTCAAAGCAAACATGCAATCTGCCAGATTACTTTATTCAGCTTTGAACGACCATATCTCGGTCATTCCTTAACCAAATCATGATATTCTTTTTTCAATTGGATAGCTCCATGAGTTAACTTTCAAACCCAACTGGTCTTACTGTAAAATATTAAATATCCGATTTTTGGCAATTTTTACAAAATGGTTGCGCAAACAGCTCTTTTTCTATGATCACCATTTTTGCCTTGCATGATCAATGGCCTTAAACCCAACCATAAATCTGGGGAAAAATACTTTAGAAACTTAACATATCCAGTGAATGATGGCTGAAATTTCGTGGCTTAAAACCCCACAGAATGTGCTTCACAAATTCATGAACTTCAGCCACATTTACATCTCATGCACCATTGCATGCAACATTTCTTATCTTGTTTGGGTTCAATACCCCTATTTCCCTTCTGAATAAATTTCGAACATTTTTCCTTTTGAAAGCCCTCACATGCATGTGATAATCTGTAAAATACCAAAAGCTTTTATTATTTCTTTGATTTATTAAAATTATTGCTAGAAACCAAGGGCATAAATCACATAAAATACTTCCAGAGGTCAATAAATCCGGAACAAATTCATGAATGACCCTTATGATGGATAATGACCCCTCACTAAATTTCATCAATTTTTGTTGCTGTTTGGTATGATTTCCAATTTTCTTTTTGTTAGGATATAATAAATCACAAAACCACTTTGGAGAGTGTGAAAATTTTATCTAACAATTTTCGCATACCTTACCTGTGATGGATGACTCAGAAAAATAATTTCAACATTTTTCATCATGCCTTGCTATTTTTCCCAATTTTTGGTAATTATAATGGTTTAAAATAGGAAAAATAGTTCTGATTATCCAAAATTCATGAAAATTTACCAGAACATCATGTTTTACAGTAGGAGGTTACATAAAAATTTTAAGGATTTTTCTCCACTGTAAACTATTTTTCTCTTAATTTCTAAAGTTAATTACACTTAAATACACATAAATACCCAAAACCGGATTATATAATATGAAGACCACTTTTGATATTTTTCTCAGGTTATTTATACTGTAAATGATGTTACAAAAATTTTTGGTAATTTATTTTAACTGTTTAATATTATTTCTTCAATTAAAGATTATTTAAAGGAATAAAACAAGGAAAAATAGAAATACCCACTGAAAAATATCTTTTATATTTTTCCCAGCCTATTTATGTATAATAACAGTTAAATAAAAAGTTTGGGTAATTTTGGAAACTGTTTTCTATTTATTTCAATTTTTATTGGAATAAATGCTCAAAAATCATAAAATATAATTAAACAGCTTGGAAATCCATTTTTATAATTTTCCCAGCTTAGTATTGTGTAATAACAGTTAAATAAAAAGTTTGAGAATTTTTATCCTTTGAATGCTATTTCCGTGAATTTATGTTGTAATAAGGACTTAAAAATTTGGAAAATTTATATTCCAATGTTGTAATTAATCGCACGATTTGTAGAATTTCATTATTTCAGAAAAAGTGTAACCAATTAATATAAAATCAAATACTAAAACATAAATTGGCATTTCACTATATGTAGAATTTAGTATATTAGCATTAGATTTCGACATGGAAACTCACTAGTGTGTGTTTGATGTCGTAGGATCCCGGTAGTAAGACGTTGGTGCATTCCGAAGTACCACTTGTACCTACTCGAAACGTTGTGAGTATTCACGCACTCCCCTATTTTCAGTTTTTATGTTTTGGGGTGGAAAAGCATGTCCCGAAAAACTATTATTTTAATGTTGTATTTAAATTGATTTGTATCAAACATGATTGCTATTTTATTGCTATGTCTCTCTATGTATGTCTATGCAACACGGAACATGAGAACTTATCGTACTAAGGCCCTTCCCTTATCTCTAACCATTAACTCTTTGAGCCAATGGTCATTATGGATAGCGCTATTAGGAATTGACAACTCCTCACTCGCCCTATTGCTGGAGTGCATGATACCATATTCATCTATGGAACGATAAGCATAGATCTTGATAGGGCTTCAGTCATAGGTTTGGTTGAGACTCATTGTTTGCTCATACACATACAAACTCGTTACACATTATAGCAATAAACTTGTTATCTATTATGGCAATAAACTCGTTTATCAATTTTAGCAATCAACTTTGTTTCTCATTATAGCAATGAACTTTGTTCTCATTAAAGCAATGTACTTGTATTTATGAAAAGTCTTATACCAAATCTTGATTTTATAAACCTGTGAACTCACCAACTATTTTCATAGTTGACGCTCGTTTTACATGCTTTTTCAGGAAATAATTAGTAAGTGGATATAGAGATTCATCATCATAGAGCATGCTGCATCGTGTGGAAGTTATTTTATGAAGTTATATTTTGAACAATATCATTTTGGAAAAACTTGTACTTTGTTTTGTTTAAGCTATGGGTTGTAAACTTTTAAATATTGCTATGGTGATGTATCTTTATCTTTTGCAATGAAACCTTTGTCGCTGTCATACCTTGCGTTTCCGCTTTAGCGGGGTGTGACATCCTAATTTTTCAACTTATCTTCACAATGATTTTCTTTCTGTTGTGCCTGGAAAAAAGGATTCTGGTATTATGTTGCAGAGGTAATAACTAATAAATATTAATACTTCTTATGACATTGAGTAAATTAGTATATATTTATGTTCGTATTTAATTTGTTTCCTAATTACATGCAGAAATAAATGCCAATTCTCAGGTATGGATGAATCTTCTGCTATATCAGCTGTCATGGAAGGCGTACATGTGGTGAATGGTTTGGAGTACAAGATGTATTGCAGCTCATCAAAGGTAATTATTATCTTCTGTGTTATTGTCGTATGCGATTTATTTTGCATATGATTAAACTGCACAAGTGCACCACTCTATGGAGGAAGTGACGACCTGCTTTCTGATGGGTTTTCTGATGCCCCTTCATTTGACCTACCAGTTACATCAGATGTGAGTTTCTTTACAATTCTTGCCTTTTTCTTTTTTCCTTTCTGCTAGATATTAAGTGAATGTATATATTGCTAAAACACTACATCAAATCCTTTGCTTTAGTTTGATGGATTTCAAAAGAATTCTATCCAAATGGTAAAACCAGCAAAGGGAACAACAACTTTGGCTTTTATTTTTTAAGGAAGGTGTGATGGTTGCTGCAGATTCCCGAGCTAGCATGGGAGGCTATATATGTATGCATTTCTCCTTCTAATTTATAATATATCTTTACTTGATTAATAATTAATTATGAATCGAAAGCAACATGATTTGAAAGCATTAAATAGTCTTCAAAAACACTCTTTTAATTTTGTTTTTTTGGCAGCATCTCAATCTGTGAAAAAAATCATTGAAATTAATCTGTATATGTTGGGCACAATGGCTGGAGGAGCTGCAGATTGTCAGTTTTTGGCACATAAATTTAGGCATTAAGGTATTAAGGTATTAAAATAACCTTTTTACGTATCACAGCCTTCTACTTTGAAATATTCTAAGCAATATTTGTATTTTTTTTTAAGTTGCAGTGTCGTTTGCATGAATTGCAGGCAAACAAGAGAAGGATTTCAGCGACTGGCGCTTCAAAGATGCTTGCCAACATTCTCTATTCTTACCGTGGGATGGGTTTGTCTGTTGGGACAATGATTGCAGGATGGGATGAAAAGGTCTATATAATACAATACCCTTTATATGTATATAAAGAAAATATTAAAATTGAAGGGAAAAACAGTCATTTTACGTCTACGTTACTTTTTTTTGTAGAGCCCTGGTCTGTATTATGTAGACAGCGAAGGCGGACGTCTCAAGGGAACTAAATTCTCCGCTGGATCTGTTTCACCGTATGCTTACGGTGTACTTGATAGCGGGTGAGTACTTCACACTTGATGCCACAAGTCCATCAAATTTATCAAAAGATTGAATTTCATGTTTAAAATTTTAATCTTTATGTGCTTATAATGTTTAAATTTATGATTACATACACAGATTGGTGGAATTTGTCAAAATGACCATTTTTGCCCTTGTCTCTTTCATCAACTTATACTTTTTTCATGTTTTTCTCATATATAAAATATCCTTGATTCGGTTGCATTGTGCATTGCTAGACCTCGGAATCAAAGCAGTAAGTCACGATCATTTTAGGCTTTTTAGCTGTAAACAAATTATAATTTTGTATATTAACATTTGACTAAAATGAATGAAAAGTAGATAATCTACTCTGCCTTTTTAAAATATCCTGGACAGATCTGATGTACTTAATCCTTTCTACTCTTGTCTTTATAAAGAAATGGAGTATTAATTTACTCTTCTAGAACAAAGGAAATCAAATGAATGAAAGGTAGATAATTTTTTTATATATATATGTTATATGCAGAGGAAGTATGAAGAAGCTGTGTATACTCTTGCTCAAATGGAAAAGAGAGTTGTAATGGTGGAATCTACTTTAAAGGCAACAATGCAATACAATTCTAGCCAAGTCAAAGCAGTACAACCAACAGGGTAAGGCTACTTACTTATCTTATATCTATTATTATTATTTATTGCTCTATGTTAATGTTATTTTTTTATATTAATATATAGGTTAATTCGTCCGGAATCTAACACAGCTGGAAGAAGGTCGGGGATACTTTCATTTGGACTTGGTTATACAAATAGGTTATATAGTTAGGGAAAACTTGTTAATAACAATGTACAATTAGATCCCCTTAATATCAATGTATTACAATGTATTGTATTTTTGTATGACATTAACTTTTGTGCAATGTATTGTATTTTTTGTATATGGTATTTTATTTTCTATTATGAGAAATGAAATTCATATTTAATTTGAAAATCAGTAAATCTATAAATAATTTTTTTTTAAAAATTTAAAATTACGATACGCAAAAATGTGTGTCATCTTCATTTATGACATGACCTTTCTTAACAGTGGCCTTAATGATACGCATTGCGTGTCATAAATGCGCGTCGTAAATGCGCGTCGTCTATAGACGACGCGCAAAACCGTGTCGTCTCTCGTTATGACAGGGCCTTTCTTGACACGCATTTGCGCGTCGTCTGAGCGTTTTACGACACGCATTGCGCGTCGTAAAATGCTGTTTTTCTAGTAGTGGGGGTGTATGCGTAATAATGGGGATGGATTTGCTGAGCATGTTTGGTGCTATGATAGACTGCAAGGGTCAGTGAGTTATAGTTCGAACCCCAAGTGGGGAGAACTAGTTATCTATGGAGAGGGTACCAGGATTGGGTTAGGGTTTTGTTCGGCGGCCAGGGATCGGCAATACTTTCAGCATCGTTGTATGGGTTATCTTTTCTATGTGGTTGATACACGGGTTGGGGAGAAGACATCTATTTTAGATGTGCTGGTTGTTAGGGAGTTTGCTAATGTGTTTCCGAAGGGGTTACCCGGTGTGCCTCCTAAGAGGCAGGTTGAGTTTAGGATTGACCTAGTGCCAGGTGTGGCTCCGATTGCCAAGGCGGTGTACCGTTTAGCACCACCTAAGCTGCAGGAGTTGTCCTCTCAACTTTAGGAGCTGTTAGGCAATTAGTTCACCTGACCGAACAGTTCGCCATGGGGAGCACCGATATTATTTGTCAAGAAGAAGGATGGTTCACACATGATGTGCATTGATTAGCGAGAGTTGAACAAGTTGATGGTGAAGAACCGTTATCCCTTTCCATTGATTGATGACCTCTTTGATCAGTTGCAGGGAGCATCTTGGTTCTCCAAGATCGATCTGAGGTCGGGGTATCATCAAGTGAGGGTTATAGAGGAGGACGTGGAGAAGACTGCATTTCAGACTCGTTATGGGCATTACGAGTTCGTGGTGATGCCATTTGGACTCACCAACGCGCCTACAATGTTTATGGATTTGATGAATCGGGTGTGCAGGCCGATGCTCGATCGATCAATTATTGTTTTTATTTACGATATCTTGGTGTATTCTACGACCAAAGATCATCATGAGGAGCACCTTCGAGAACTTTTGGGAGTGTTGAGGCAAGGACGATTGTATGCCAAGTTCTCGAACTGTGAGTTTTGGTTACAAGAGGTCCAGTTCCTAAGCCATCTCGTTAACTAGAACGAAATTTTTGTCGATCCGGCCAAGATTGAGGCTATGATGCAGTGGGAGATTCCGAATTCTTCCTCAGAGATGAGGAGTTTCTTGGTTTTGACAAGATATTATGGGAGATTTATCCAAGATTTCTCTAAAATTGTTGTACCCCTCACTCGTCTGACGAGGAAGGGAGTGGATTTCCAATGGGGCCCGGAGCAGCAGTTGGCGTTTGAGACACTGCGATAGAGGTTATGTGAGGCCCCGGTGTTGACCCCTCCGGAGGGTGTCGAGGATTTCGTTGTATTTTATGATGCATCCATCACTGCTTTGGGGGCAGTTATTATGTAGAGAGGGTGAGTGGTTATGTATGCTTGTCGGCAGCTGAGGCCGCATGAGGCACGATATCCTACCCTTGATTTGGAGTTGGGGGCAGTAGTGTTTGTCCTCAATATTTGGCGGCACTACTTGTATGTTGTCTGGTGTACTATTTACATGGATCGTAAGAGTTTGCAATATCTTATGGACCAGCCAAACCTGAACATGAGACAGCGGATGTGGCTTGACATGGTCAAGGATTATGACAACGAGATCCTTTACCATCCGGTTAAAGCGAATGTGGTCATGGATGCTTTGAGCCGCAAGTCGTCTAGATCTTGGACCGGGGGTATGTGTATGAGGATATCTATTGATTCTCCACTTTTGGATTTGATTTGAGGGGAACAGGATGAAGGGTTCAAGAAGGAGAACTGGAAACATGAGAGGATTAGGGACGAGATCAACAGATTTGTCACCGATAGTCGAGGATTTTTGACTCCGTGTGGTCGGTTTGGGTTCCGGTTTCTGGCGAAGTCAGGCAGATGGTTTTGGAGGAGGTACATAAGTCTCGCTTTTCAATACACCCAGGAGCCACCATGATGTATCAGGATCTGAGACTAAGTTACTGGTGGCTGTGTATGAAGCGGGAGATAGCTTGGTACGTTGATATGTGCTCGACCTGTAGCATGGTCAGGGCCGAGCACCAGAGGCCACATGGAAAGCTGCGGCCTTTGGTAGTTCCCATGTGTAAGTGGGAAAAGATCACCGTGGATTTTATCACCAAGATACCGAGGACTGCAAAGGGGTTTGATGCTATATGTGTCATCGTGGATCGATTGACCAAGAGTGCCCACTTTTTGGCCATCCGAGAGAGCTCCTTGGTCGAGAAACTAGCCGATGTGTATGTTCGGGAGTTTTTTTTCTCGTCATGGGGTTCCGGTCTCCATTATATTAGATTGATATGTTCGGTCTACTTCCCTATTCTGGCTGAAGTTCCATGAGGAACTGGGTACGAGGCTACATTTCAGCACTGCTTATCATCCGCTGACCGACGGCCAGAGTGAGCGGACCATCCAGACACTTGAGGATATGTTGCGTGCTTGTGTCATATATTTTGGTGGGAGTTAGGATTCCTATCTACCTCTTGCGGAGTTTTCTACAACAACAACTATCACTCTAGCATTGGTGCACCACCCTTCGAGCTTCTGTATGGTCGGAGATGTCGTACCGCAGTTTGTTGGGGGGAGGTTGGTCACAGAGTCATGGGGAGGACTGAGGTACCTCTAGACTACAGAGCTCATCCAGCAGATCAGAGAGATATTGCAGACAACTGACAGTCGACAGAAGAGCTATGCCAACCAATGTCGATCAGAGTTGGAGTTCCAGGTCGGCGATATGGTGCTACTGAAGGTTTCACCCTGAAAGGCTGTGATACGCTTTAGGAAGAGGGGGAAGTTGGATCCCTCGTATATTATACCATTCCGTGTGATCGCAAGGGTAGGTAGGGAGGCCAACCGGTTGGATTTGCTGAGTGAGCTCAACCAAATCCACAACACTTTCCATGTTTCGCAGTTGCAAAAGTGGGTGTTGGACGACGAGGTTGTGGTCCCTTTAGATCATATTTAGGTCGATGAGTACCTGAAATATATTAAGAGACCGGTAGCGGTGGTGGAGAGAAAGATAACGGTTTTACGCAACAAGGAGATACCTTTGGTAAAGGTTCGGTGGCAACATCGGAAAGGCTCTGAGTGGACCTGGGAGCCAGAGACGGAGATGCGGGAGCATTATCCTAAGTTATTTGCAGCATCGGACTTCGAGCACAAAGTCTAGGTCAAGTGGGGGAGAATTATAACATCCCGATGATGAGGTATTTTCAGTTTTAACCCTATGTATAAAGGATTATTGCATTTAACCCGTGTGCATGAGAAAGATTGCTTAAATGGCCCATAGTCGCATTTTGGTGATTTTGGCCAAAGACTTAGTACGTTGGGTGTACTAGGGAGAAACTTAGAACGTTGGGCATACACCGCGTACGCAGGGCATAGGTGATGGATCCTCAAACCCTAATTTTTAGGGTTTGGTCCATATATATAATCATCATTTACTCCTCATTTCTCATTCCCTCATCAGTCTCCACCTAAGAAAATGTCCCTCTGGCTAACCCTAAGTGAGAAGAGTGCATCTTGAAGAAGAAGGTGGTGGGGAGACTTTGGAGCTCAAAAGCAACTTGGAGATGGGATTTTCTCTTTGCTAGCAACCTGCAGGAGGTAAAAAGCTCATATATCATCTTATCTTATAGATCTAGCCATTTCTTCATTTAGGGCATTATTGGTCCCAACTATGATGATTCCCAAGCATGGCATGCTCTTAGTTGAAAAATTCGTCCTTTCAGACCTAACGAGGGGTCTTGAGTCATAAAAATGTGGTCTTGATGCTTAGTTTTTCCCCATGCATGCTCTATAAGGTCTTAAGATGTTAAGAAGTTGGGATTTTGTGTATTAAGCACTTAATAGGCATGAAAAGTCATAAAGTTGGAAACTTTATGACTCTTAGTGGTATTTAGGCCTTGGATTTGAAATTGGGATGTGAGAGCTTAATGCATTGAGCTCTTATTGAGAAAAGGGGGATTTTTGCGTAACCTAGCATATGCTGAGTGTACGAGGTTAACCGATCGACTCCGGTCAAAGCCTGATTACGCCCAATGTAGGAGCTGAGTACCCCCTGCGTACTCAGCTGAGTGGACCGAGTTGACCTTGACCTTTGACCAGAGCTTTGACCAATTTGACTTAGGAGTGTTTTAGGTATTTTGAATTGATTAATTGAGATTAGGTTCTTGGTGTTGGTTAGGTGATCATTGAGCCGATTTTCGGTACTGAGATTTATTCAACTTGCATTTAGACTGTGAGGTGAGTTTTCATCACTGTACCGTGGGTCTAAGGCACCAATTCCGGCCCACTAGTTCATGTATCCTGGTTATTGGATAGTGATATACTGGTATTTGGTTGAGCAATAGACCTGCATGGTTATCTGTATTTGTTGGTTCTGTGTTTAAGTTTATCTGTTTCATATGTCGATATATTGTGTTGGGTTGAGGTTGTACTTATTTGTGTTGTAGCCAACAAACACAGGAGCATTCTAGATATGAGCTAAGGGCCCGATTGGCATGCCAGACTCATATTGAGGGCTTGAGATTATTCCAGATATGAGCTGAGGGCCCGGTAGGCATGCCAGACTCATATTGAGGGCTCAGGTGTAATCCAGACTTATGCTGAGGACCTTGCAGGGGTATTCCATA